ACCGGAAATTATTCAAGTCTCATATGTATGTATATATGCTGTCTATATTCTTTCTGATTGAAAAAAATTTTTTCTCTAGGCAATATATGTATATCATTTATATAATCAAAAATTACTAAAAGGTATATCGTCTTGCTCAGTGAATCACCTTCTTCCTTATGAAATGAATTAAATGTTAACTTTCAAAGTATTCTTCAGCATATGTAACTATTCTCCTGTAGAAGCACCATGATTCGAAAAGTCATTGTGTTCACTCTTGATTTTGTTTTTAACTTTTATACCCTGATCCTCTGAAACAGTAATTTAGTAATTAATCAAAAACTTGCCTAGTTATAAAGCTAAGCCATGTCAATTAAAAATATAACCGTAACCAGTATCTTCAATAAACATAACGGCAATGTACTTGCTGTAATTTGTTGTTATGTCCCTCTTGTTGGTAAGCCTTAATTGTTGGAAAGTAGCAGGCATGTACCATAATAAAAAATGCGTCATAATTTGAAAATGTAAGGAAAACAGAAATTTAAAGTGATCTTGCAAAATATGCAATATTTTTTAAATACGCAAGAAAAATGATCAATTATATTTAATGACTATGGACATGATGAAGTTAACATGCACAGTTTAAAAAAAACTTTGCTGAGTAACAAGCAGAACCCTCATAAATAAATGGCTTGTAAAAAAAACAATCCCTGGGGCTCTTTGACATTTAGAGAGAATGCCAGGCCTGGCATTTGTTCCCTGTCATTTCCATGCATTAGACAAAGCAATGAAGACAAACCAAATGGAAATAGGTTTTATCCAAAGCAATCAATACAGACAAATTAAATAATCTCACCCAGTGGATAGATAGCAGGCTTCAAATTTCATAAACAAGAAAATTTGCAAAAGAAATTTTAGGGAACTAAACAGAATTGCCAGTTTTTTGTTTTGCTAAGTGAAGAAACAAATTTTTTTAAAAACAAAGCACTAACTACTATCACCATTGTTGCATAAAAATAAGTTGCATGGACAATCTCAGAATAGAGAACTGTTTCTCTAGAAAAGATTAGTCTTCCGCTGTTACTTCTCTATAGACAAATTCAGACAGCAACTGAGAGCAGAACATGCTCTAGTCTGAAAACTGCAGGAGTATCAAGTCTTGGAAAAATTCAGCCTTTTGCTTTTCTTAAAAAGTAATCTCTATTATCTGGCATTTGGTAAACAAAAAGTTAAGATAAACAAGCTATTCTAGTCACTGGAAATTATTCAAGTTTCATATATGCTGTCTATATTCCTTCTGATTCATTTAAAAATTTTTCTCAAGGCAATATATGTGTATCATTCATATAATCAGGCCAAGTGCGGTGGCTCCCGCCTGTAATCCCAGCACTTTGGGAGGCCAAAGCGGGCAGATCACGAGGTCATGAGGTCAGGAGATCGAGACCATTCTGGTCAACATGGTGAAACCCCATCTCTACCAAAAATACAAAAATTGGCTGGGCCTAGTGGTGCGTGCCTGTAGTCCCAGCTACTGGGGAGGCTGAGGCAGGAGAATTGCTTGAACCTGGGAAGCAGAGGTTGCAGTGAGCCGAGATCATGCCACTGCACTCCAGTCTAGGCAACAGAGCAAGACTCTGTGTCAAAAAAGAAAAAAAATGTAGTCTCTATTGTCTGGCATTTGTTAAACACAAAGTTAATTAAGATAAGCCATTCTAGTCACTGAAAATTATTCAAGTCTCATACGTACCTATATATGCTGTCTATATTCCTTCCGATTCATTAAAAAAATTTTCTCAAGGTAATATATGTATATCATTTATATAATCAAAATTTACTAAAAGGTAATAAAACATAATCTTTTAACTTCACCTCTGATTCTTGCTGCTCAAAAACAACCACTGTCAACACCTTTTTGGTTTTTCTATTTTCAATATGAACTATTGGCTTACAATTGCAGGACTCTGGAAAGAGAACATTCACTTAGTTTTCTTAACACACACACACACACACACACACACACACACACACACAGGCACACACACCCTGCCCTTCTCTCTCTTTCTTCCCACTTCAATACTTCTATTAAAATCATACCACAATCACAATTTGGAGGATCACGAATTTTCAGTCCCCATATTATTATGACTATATAGATATTATTCATGTGCAGTACACTAGGCTACGTTTCCAATTTCTGTAAGATTTTTGATTTCCCAGGAGTTAATCATCATCTTATTTTGTTGTTGCGTACTAATTTTTCTTATGACGCTATATCCCTACTTCAATTTCACATCCTCCAGCAGGCATTTCATCAGTGCCATGGTTGGAAGCATATCTCTTGGCATTGTCTCTGCTCCCAGTCCTCTAACCTGGTTGGTTTCTATCTCCTGCACAGCTGTTATCCCAGGGTTTCCCTTTACCATCATCCTGGGGATTCCTTTTCCCTCTCTGCTCTTAAATTTCCTGTCTATTGGATACCATGTCTTCTCTTTCACTTCTTTAAGTAACTGAGAAAAAGTATATGAGAAAGTAGAGAGGGAAGAGACTCCCTGCTGTGAAACATTTATACTTTTCACTTAGTCCTGCTTTTCTCAATGTGGTGATCTCACTGTGGGCCTCAACTGAGCCTAGGGATCTCACTGTGGCCTTAATTCAGTCCGAAACCTCTGGATTAAACTCATCAAAGAGGAAGAAAACACAATGATAAGGTGGGTGAGGGGGCACACTGTCTTATACCTGTAATCCCAACAATTTGGGAGGCCAAGGTAGGAGGATTGCTTCAGTCCAGAAGTTCAAGACCAACCTGGGCAAAAAAGCAAGACCCCATCTCTACAAAATATTTAAAAATTAGCTGGCATGGTGGTGCATGCTTGTAGCTTCTGCTACTCTGGAAGCTGAGTATTTGGGAGGACCGCCTGAGCCCAGGAAGTTGAGGATGCAGTGAGCCATGATATGTGTGGCCCAGTTTTTTTCTGTGGAACTAAGATAGTTAACAGGTCTATCTGCTTTCCATCCTTCAGAGTTCATTGACGTCTTGAGAACATCCGCTCATTCTTCGTGTCCTTGAAGGTCTATGAGTCCTACTGTCATTTTAGTGGAGTTTAGGTGGGTGTAAAGATAAAAGCACACTGTTATCTAACCTCTAATTTAAGAGTTAAGTTTTCTGCTGTATCTAAATACCACTGAATCACAGTCTAAGAGATCACAGCAGGGGGTTGATGAGGCACACAAATGCTCCTCACAACACTGCCCAACCATACTAAGAGTATTCCAAATGGCCTTTCTAGTTTACCTGTTTTTAAGAAGGTGTATTAAGAAAGAGAAGTGTGGCTGGATGTAGTGTCTCACGTCTGTAACCCCAGCACTTTGGGAGGCAGAGGTGGGAGAAGCAACTGAGGTCGGGTGTTCAAGACCAGAGTGGGCAACAGTGTAAGTCCTCTGTCTCTACAAAAAATGAAAATATATTAGCCAGGAGCGGTGACATGTAACTGTAGTCCTAGTTACTCAGGAGGCTGAGGGACGAGGATTACATGAGGCCAGGATTTCAAGGCTCCAATGAGCTATGATCTCACTACTGCACACCAGCTTGGGTGACAGAATGACACCCTGTCTCCAATTAAAAAAAAAAAAGAATAAAACAATAAAGAAAAGTATCATAAATCTATATAAATCTGCTGATACTTTATCTGTCCCTCTCAGTGACAGTATAGAGCTGCTTCTCTCAAAGTACTTTACTGTATTTGTATGTCTAGTTAGGTAGGACCCCAACTCTTTAGATTTACTTATGCTAGGAGATAGTAGAAGAAAACTGTAATGAAAAACTCAACAGGGATTCATTCCGTTGTCATGAGCCAATGGCGCACCAGGATTAAGAGAGGGTCTTACTGCTTTCTGTAAACAACTCACCCTGTCCCAATGGATTTTTGAGTAGTAGAGCTGATACTGACTCCACCAAACTGCAGCTGAGTGCAAGGTGATTAGACTGTTTAGGATAGCTACATAATCTTATTTATTTACTGAAATCAAACACACATTGATTCACCAGATTTTAATGTGGCAATAGTAAGTACACCGATGTCTCCAGTACCTTGGGTGGCATTTCATGTTGTAAAACTTAACTGCAGTCTACAGACAATGGCCTATCATAAGGGGACTCAGGGTAGGGCTAGAGCCTCAGCCGGCCAATTTGTAAAAATTTTGACATGAAGCATTTCAAAGAATCTACCTAGAAAAACAAATTCCACTGAAATCAGGTGATCTATGTGCCCAAACAGGTACACTAAAGTTACCATCAGAACATGGCAGACTGGATTTTAAAAAAAGAAATGAAAAAACAATCTGCTTGAATGATAGTTAAGGCAAAGCTTAAAAATCGTAATTAAAATTAATGATAGAGGCTGGGTGCGGTGGCTCATGCCTGTACTCTCAGCACTTTGGGAGGCCGAGGCGGGTGGATCACAAGGTCGGGAGTTCAAGACCAGCCTGGCCAAGATGGTGAGACCTCATCTTTACTAAAAATACAAAAATTAGCCAGTCGTGGTGGCGGGCACATGTAATCCCAGCTACTTGGGAGGCTGAGGCAGGAGAATCACTTGAACCCAGGAGGCAGAGGTTGCAGTGAGCTGAGATCATGCCATTGCACTCTAGCCTGTGTGACAGAACAAGACTCCATTTCAAAAAAAAAATAATGACAGAAGAGTAACTTCCCTCATAAATTAATATGATAAATTAATGAGCAGGACGCCATCTTGCTCAGCTACTCCTGGTCTCTGCTTCACTATAGATGGGCAAAGAAAAAATGTTTTCCAAAAAATCTCCTATTAGACTCTAAGCTGAATGCAATCCCCAAACTCTAAACCAGGCATGATCTAACAAAAGGTTGCAGAATATCTTGTCACCATACATATTCCCACACAGACGCTCACGATCGTTAACCACAGGTTATCATAATGCTACGAAACTCCCTGATCTTCAGCAGTGACTATCTTTAAAATGCAAGTATATATATATATAAAAATTTTTCTCTCTCAATTCCTGTCATTATTGCATAGATTTTTCTTTTTCCTGGATTCTGAAAAGGATATTACACTAAGCTTGCCAGGAATGACAGCATGGACCAGCATTTTCTCTACAATGTTCCAATATTGCATGGAATTTCTCAAACACCTGCTTTAGTACACCTTCCCCAGAAGAATGTGTTCAAATACAGTCTACTCATAAGCGTAGCGGAGCAAGAATGCAGTATGACATTGGGAGTTACTTAGAGATGATGCAGAAGAGGAGTGGCATGCAGCTTCTCCTTCACATATTTTTTTCTTCTTTTCTTCACAAAATCCACACCTATACCTCATTGCTAACCCTGAGGATTTATTCACCCAAAGAAAACAGCCATTGTGCTCTCATAATGTGTAAACACATCTTTTACTTAGAGAATTCTAGAAACTGGCCTTAGGAGATTTAACATGAAACCAGAATTGTGGAGTGTCTTACCCTGTATAGCAAATGACGAACAGTTGATTTATAGCCTTGTTGCTGCTGGCCAGACCAAGTAGCCCATCACTCAAGATAACTATTACAACTAGATATGCTGACCTGCATACCCTAGCCCTCTTTTGTGCTTTGTCTGGCCCAGCCTGTATACTTTGGCCCAGATGATATTTCCTGTGCTTTGCCTAAAAAAAACAATCCCTACCAGCTTCCCCTCTGCTGCCCCCTGCAGAGTCAGTCAGAGGATCCCGTGCCTCACCTCCACTGTCTCCCTTGAGCTTGACCACAAGCCCCGATTTAAAAACCTTGTCTGGGAAATCTGCTTGGCTCCGTGTTAATTTCCATTACATGGGAAGCGAAAGAGCCTGTGATCGGTAACAGAGACAGCCAAACCAAACAAATCACCTACACTTTCTTTACTCAAGTGAAAATGGGTAAATAGTGACGGTGAAGATCTGCTTTTAATTATATTCAAGGGTCAAGAAATATCACTCTATCAGGAGCACAGTTTGTTCAATATTTACTTCTAAATAATGATTTCAACATCCTTAAAAAAGACATTAATTTACATGAAAGTAGCAGCAGGATCTGAGAAATTCACAGACACAAAGGAACTGGGGGAAGGAGGGAAATTAAGAGTTGGTGTGTGGTGGGTAGCTCAAACAAGTAACAAAAACCAGTGTCACGTTGCTAGCTTTCCTAACAAAAATAAAAGGGCAGCGCAGTGGCTCATGCTTATAGTTCCAGCGCTTTTGGAAGCAGAGGAGGTCAGATCACACGAGGCCAGGAATTCAAGACCAGCCTGGCCAACATGGCAAAACCCTATCTCTATTAAAAATAATTAAAAAAAAAAAAAAAAAAAAGCTGGGTGTGATGGTGCATGAGAATTGCTTGAACCCAGGAGGCGGAGGTTGCATTGAGCCCGGGTCATGCCACTATACTCCAGCCTGGGAGACACAGCACTATTGTGCAGGTAGTGAAAGTTTTTATTATGGGTCAAGTCTGACTCCAGTCATCAACTTAAGGGGAATAAACAGCTATCGATAATAAAAATGATATGGATAATGATAATCTGTAGAACTACCTCCCTTTTAAGAGCTCCTTTGGCTAAGGATCACATTAAAACATCAGAATTGTTAGTCTGGCAGAATTACACCTGGAGGAAAAGTTTAACTTCTTGGAACACAAGAAGTAGTACAGTGTAAAGACAGGAGAGCCAAAAAAGTAAAATAGACTTCTGGAGATAAAATTGTTTTTATCTTTGCACTTTCAGATTTACTTTGTCAAAAACACCTCCTCCCTAATTCTTTCATATGCCAGGATCAGAACTAATGCAGGAGGATGTTGATATTTTGATCTAATCATTTAAGTTGTTTAAAAAAAAACTCTACTTGGGAGCTCATTAGACTCAGGTAGCTTTGGCATTTTAAATTTTTACATGAACAAATCAAAGCCCAATGTAAACAGTAAATGGAAACTGGAAAATATACTAATCAGAAACCACCAACTTCTTTTAAAACAATTGTTTTCTTTTTCTCTGCATATCATTCTGTCAACTAACTTCTAGCCATCTAAACTGTTTGTCTTGCTTCTTCAAATACTAAGTAAAAGTTTTCCCTCTTGCATCTCTCATCAGAGTGCCAGCCCCTTGTGGTCTGGTACAACCCTGATTTATGCATTCCTGAATGCTCAAATGAACTTGAAAATTATATGTGCTTAAGGTTTTCTTTTAACAAAGTCTATTCAGCTAAAGGATGAATTTATGAGGTGAAAAATGTTCTCCCCCAACTTAAGAGTAACAAAAATATATAGAGACATTTGCAGGAAAATTTTCAAATTATGACTAAGAATTTTCTCCATTTTGAAATAGGCAGATATAAATGTCCTTTGAGCAGAATATCCTTCCCAGGCTATAGCTTTAGTCTAAAGAACAAAAGTGATCTAGGAAGAAATGACAACAATTTGTAAGCCTACCACCAAAACTTGAGGTTGTAAAGGACCATTGTAATGATTTCTTCAGGTTTCTTTGTGTACAGCTTTAACTCACAGAGGGAGCAATGATTAGCATTTATCTAACAATGCGAAGGAAACAGCAAGCAAAGCCTATGAAGAATGAAGAGACTAGACTTGAGGGTGCCTTTCAATATTATGGCAACAGGTTCTTAAAAAGCAATGGATTAGGCACTTAGCAGAGTTTTGGAGCAAAGGACTTCCATTTTCCTTTAATACGTTTATGGTTAACATCTCCTAATATAGGAAGAGGTTTATTCAGAAGACACAGAAAACTCTTGTTAATCTAGCTCAGTCTCTAAGGTTTCTTTCACAGAGGAAATGACCCCACCAATCTCTGCAAGATTTTTAAAATTAACATTGCTCAGAACAAAGGTATAATTTTATCAAACCCCTGCATTTTAGGGATGAGTTTTGGGGAGGTGAAGTGACTTGCCTAGGTGCACACTGCTACTTAGAAAGCAAAACCAGGGTAGACCATCAGGATGCAGCATCCTGACCGAGAAACCAACAGGCCCATGTTTCACTACGCACCACCTAAAGTACCAGTAGTTTACTGGAAGTTCCTGAAATTTTGCTGCCACAGAAATGGATTTATTTGCTATATTATTGAATAATAGCTTTAAACAGTTCACTTGAATCAACATTATTAACTAGAGAATTCTTGATCTAATCTCTAGCATCATGTTTATTGCTCAAAAAATGCCTTGAGGATTCCGCCACCCATGTTATATTTATCCACTCATGCGATATTCACCTACAACAACATGAAGAAACAAAAAGAGGTTGTGACTCCCCTTTATTTAAATGGTATCAGTTTGGCAAGAGATGGGGAAGAAAAAAGTGATATTATCAACATGAAATTTTACAGATTTATGTTTTAAACCTTAAAAATTAATCAATACCAAAATAGTTTATATTTGACAAATACTTAGGCTCAGAGGAGGACCGTGGAAATGTCTGGAAGAAGTGAGGCTTAAATCAACATTTTCTAATATTTCACATCCCAAATTCTGGAGTACAGCTGGCCCTCCATATCTGCGAGTTTTGAAATCCTGTGGGTACCTGGATACCCGGGGCTGGTTGTATTCTACTTTTAAGAAACTGTTTCTAAATTAGAAATCAATTAGAATCTAATTGATTCTAAAATATTACTCTGACCAAGGCAGAGCAACCAGCTGGATCTGACAGCAGGAAGGTCTGCACTGCCCCCTCATGGCCAGAAGCCTTGCTGGTAACTCTTCCAATACCAGACACCCAATGAGCAGTTGAACCCAGTCATACTTAATTAATACATTGTAATAATGAATGCTGGTCTCCACAAAACACACACGTACACTTCCAAAACATATTCATATTTGCATCCTGCCCATATTACCTGTTTCAGAGTTTGATACGAACATTACTATCTGGAAAAAGTCAAAGTCACATTCTCTTTAGAGGAAATAAGATTTAAACACAGAATAAAGAAAAAAAGTATATACAGAGAATAGAGTTAAAAAAAATAACATCCATAGGCTGAATTTTGTCAGGCTAAATAATATTCTTCAGACGATGTCAATATGAGTCACAAAGGATTGGAAAATTCAATTTTCTTAATTTGAAATAATTAGATCAAGAAAAGCATTAAAGATATTTCACTAAAATCAAAGGCAAAACTTCTAGTTCTTTCAACAATCCTTTAACACTTTTTTCAAATGAATTTAAAAAAAAGGAATAAATCAGAGAACAAGTGTGGAACACAGATAATCAATATTTGAATAAACCATTATGTATTTAATGGCCAAGAAAACAAGCTAGAAATATCAAAGATAAAAGTTTCAAAGAATCCAAAACATGTAATTCCAACTCTGACAAGGAGAAGCAATTATTACACCTATTCTAGAAAGAGCCAGAGTTCTAGAAAGATAATATTAAATCCCAGGAGCAAACCATGAGTTAATGGTATCTTATTTTTTACAGGTTGGGAAGACAAGGTGAGGGGGTGGAATGAGGTGGCAAGGGGGAACTTCTAATCATCAGATTAGAGATCCTGAATTTTGGATAAAAAAGTCAGATAATCAAAAATGCTGTTTACATGATTAGCAAGAAGAAACACTAGCTCGTGCAGTAGCTCATGACTGTAATCCCAGCATTTTGAAAGGCAGAGGTGGAAGGACTGGTTGAGCCCAGGAGTTTGAGACCAACCTGGGCAACAGAGTGAGACACTGTCTCTGTTTAAAAAAAAAAGAAGAAACATTGATTTAAGGGCTAAAAAATACTACTAAGTAAGATGAATGAAAATTCTGATTAAAATTGGAGTAAAATGTATAACTGTGGATAAAAATGGGAGAAGTGACACTTAAATCAACATTTTACACATGTCTATTATAGTATAATTATGTTCATTAATTTAGGGTACAAGCCTATCATATTATTCAGTTTATTTCATTTAGGGAACATAAATGGCTAGTGAATGATTAGGGCCACTCTGATCTAACTTCCTGTTCTAATGATTTTCTCTTAGCTGTGGTGTTCAATTTTAAGCAACTAGATAATTTAAAAAATCTCTTGTGAGATATTGGGAACTTGGATATATCATTGATTACATATCCTGGAACTTAGAGACCACATATGCCTTAAAAAAATACTAATGATCTCTTAAAAACTATTATCTCCAAGATACCATGTGATGGCCTACTGACAACAGTTCTACTAGTGGTCTTTTATACTGTTAACTCCTGCAGTATTTGGAATATTTTTTAAAAAGTGCTTGGCCTTCTCTTGCACAGATACATATCATACAAGAGTACCTGTACTGTGTGACAAACACAGAGGATAGTAGATAATCTTTTATGCTAGATTCCAATATTACACTATACAACCATAATTATGGGTAAACCCACTAATGTAACAATGCTTAAATTATCATAAGGACCGGTAGTAGGATTACAACAGAGTTATGGAGGATGAGGTCTTAATTTCCCATAGCCTCTGATTGTATACTATGGGGATAATCCAAATTAAAACATACAAAACAAAATCCAGAGATCTCTCAGTGTTCTTTATAGAAGCCAATTTTACAGCCATGTTGACAATTACATACAAGCTCACATTTATTTACTTAAGAATATAATAAACCATTCAGGTCTATTTCAGCAGGAGACCATAGTCATCACACCACAGGCAGTCTCCTAACATTTTCAGTAGAAGTCAACACATCCCTATACAGGTCACATTAAAGGGCTTTGAAGACACATTTCTCTCTAAAGATAATGCCTTTTAAAAAACAGTGAGGAGGAAAAAGCCACATTGGAAAACTTATTGGAACCAGACAATTCGCTAATGAAGGATGGGGTCAGACTCTACTATGTCATAATGTAAGGGGGTGAAGAGGAAGTCAACATATTTCTTAAAGTCACACTAAGGTATTTTGCCACCTGTCCCCTGCCATATTTTGAAGGGAAACTGTTATTGCCAAAGTCTCTCAATAATGTTATGTCACATGGGGGACAAGGAGGTAACAGGGGAGGAGGGCAGTGGGGAATGGTTTGAGGGAGAAAGCCTGATGTCACTCTCAGTGGGTCTGGATATAACCCCGAGAAGGCTGAAATGACACTGAGATCCACCTCCTGAGGCTCTTTCTGCACATTATCTAACACATGAATCTCCGTTATTATCATCTCCATCTCCAGCCCTAGAGTTCTGTGATCCTATGATTCTATTATTCCATTTTTAAACCTGTGGAGTGGGAGTGTTTCTGAGTACCCTGCTCACACAGATGGTGGTGGGAAGAATCTCAAGAATATGTTGCATGTAGTAAATGCCCACTTCACTACGTAATCACTCCCTTCACATTTCACACGAACAAAGATTATATTATCTTCAAGACAGCTGCAAAACCACGAGTGGTTTAATGGCAGCATAGCATCAGCACATATATGTGTAAGAAACATGAAAGAAGAAATTTCTCTTCATTAAATATACCTGGGGCTAACAACTCTAAACCTGACATGAATGTAGTATAATAGGACCAGGTCAGACTTGTATATCAGCTCCACAGATTGGGGGTTGGGGGAGATCAGAAGAGGAAAGGCAAAAGGAACCAACTGAAAGATAAAATCATATACAATTATGAATATAGAGATACAATATCTCTATATTCCTGATGTTCTAAAAATACCCTCCTCTGAAAAATCATTTGTCAAAGCAACCTTCTGAGACCAGAAAAAGATCTATGTGCCAAACAACAGTTTCCCACAGTCATCTCATTTTGACCACTGCTTTCACCCATCTCCTCCACAATCTGGCTCTTTACAAAACTGACCCACGCCACTCTGTATCTGGAGTCCAGGTCCCGTCCCTTTCACCTGATCGCACCTGATTCTCTTAGAGCCATTTTATACTCCTCGTTACTTTCTCAGTCGATCGCTACACATTAGACACTGCCAAAGACTATCCAGTTCTGTTGCCTTGCCACACAGCTGTCAATAAGATTGAAGTGGTATATCTTTACCTTGTTCTCCTTAGCAGAAAACTCTGAGGAGTTGGAAATTTTCATGGACTTTGACCTGTGAGACTGCCGCCGGATAGAATCCTCCCGGGAGTATTTCACGGAACCTGAGGTCCTCACCCGTACCTTGCTGGCACTCTGAACACTATTCACACCAATCATTTTCGAAGGTCAACTAAGGAAGGGGTTTGGAGAAATAAAAAGGCACTTTCCAACCGTTCCAAGGCTCTCACGCTGGAGAAACTCTGCGGGGTTGTGCCTGAGCAGCTCCTGAGCGCTGTGATCCGCGTTAGCTTAAGAAGCACCAGGCTGCTTCCCCCAGCATCTTCAACTACCCTGTTTGCAGCGACTCTGATTGTTCCAGGCACAGCTCACGTCACTGGCTGCAAAGAGGAAAAAAATGCAATCCACCCCTGCTACTCGTCTCTCTTTTCCACACACACACACACACACACACACACACACACACACACCCAACCATATTCACACACTGGAACAAATGGCAATTGGCCAGGCAAGCAATTCATTAACATTCCAAATGGCAACACTATTTCTCTTGTGATATTGTGCAGTAAGCTCATTAACGTCAACAACAAAATAGAGATACCACAAATAAAAGTCTCAAGTAATCTGCAAGGCACTATGTGGGGTGGGAACGGAGCTGAATTTCCAAAAGGAGGAAAAAAAAACCATGGATGGACGTCAAAAGGCTCAATTAATTACAGGCTAGTGAAACAGTGCGAGACACAAAGACATGTCAATGATCAATAATTTTCCTTTCTTTCCTGTTTCAGGCCACATACTGTTTGACAGCAATTCAAATGGTGTTGCCATTCTGAAGGTTTAAATGTGCCTTATGACCTTAGACTACGACAGCCAGATATTTAAACAGAAATCATGTCACCGTATGGCAAATCCAGAATAAAGATGTTCTGTTACCTCTGTAGGAGACTGAGAAAATGACTGGGGGGTTAGCACATGTTAACTTTCAAGATGGCTCGGAGTGAGACCAATAAAGCTAACTCCGGACAAGAAGGAGCAAGCACCTTTTTCAAAAGCCATAAATGTTCTCTCACTCAACATAGCAATGAGCAAGTCTCTGAGTACGAATCACAAACTGGAGATTACTAGAAAACAAGACCATTTTAGGTCCTGATATAGTAAGCGAGTTTTGAGCATGAGACTCAAGATTGCAATGCCTCACTTATCTGGCATCCCAGAGGTAGAGGCTCAGCCACCACATTAGCATCTTCTCCAGTTAAAGGAGGCTTTTGTGTTAGTATAAATAACAAAACTTAAACACATTTCATAAAGACCAATCTGGAAAAAAAGGTCAGCCTCAATCCATCCCACCCCTCAGATCTAAACTTTTCCTTTATAACTCAAACATTTATACACATTTTTTTTTACAATGTATTGTTCAAATTTTGCAATGTACTGATATTCCTGAGCATTATTTGAGGTAATTTAAAAAAATGTTTTAAAGTAATTATTAAATCATAATGACTAAAGTTATGTTTTAAGTTAATTGCTTCCCTCTACTGTCAACAGGCCCAGGAAAGGGTGACGTTTGAGCCTTGGTTTCTGTTGTATCCTCATAACAGGGGCTTTCTCCCCAACTCCTTTAGATTTTATTTACGTTCCATCTCCTATTTCTAAAGCACTTGGTACCTTTTTTTTTTTTTTTTTTTTTGAGATGGTGGTGTTCTGTCACCCAGGCTGGAATGCAATGGCGCAATCTTGGCTCACTGCAACCTCCGCCTCCCAGGTTCAAGCGATTCTCTCATCTCAGCCTCCTGAGTAGCTGGGATTAAAAGTACCTGCCATCATGTTTGGCTAATTTTTTGTATTTTGTCTACATAGGGTTTCACCATGTTGGCCAGGCTGGTCTTGAACTCCTGACCTCAGGTGATCCGCCCCCCCTTGGCCTCCCAAAGTGCTAGGATTACGCATGAGCCACTGCGCCCAGCAAGTAGTTGGTACTTCTACTGTGCTATAAGGAAGACAAAGATATTAATATTGGCAAAATTTTATCATCTAAAATAATAATATATTATAGGTTTTGGAAGATCTTGGAGCCCTACTGTCCTTTGAGGTACATTTTCCTCTCTTCTTAGGAAACTGAAGCTAGTAAATAACTTTCTTAGAATTAAGAAAAATTCTGTAAAGTTAGTATTTACAAAGCAAGTTCCAAAGACATAAAGTGGTGTGCTGTAGCAGTAAAATAAAATTGATCATTTGGAATAAACACAGTTCTAAATTAAGCAGATGATTATTCTGTGGGTGAAGATCTTCAGTTAACAAAAGTAAGCCTGAGGTGGAACAAAGTAAGAAACTAACAGCATAATCAAGACAAAAATTCAAAAAGTCCTGTGTAAAAGACATGAGAGCCTGCCTCGGTGTGGGGATAAAGACAGCACTGGCTTAAAAGAAACATGTCCTTTGGATATTTGCTAGTCATCATAATGATGAATTACAAAATATCTCCTGATGAACTTTATTTTCTTGGGTCCACCAAAAGTTAGATTAAAAAAAAAAAAAACAACTAAAACCGCATACTAGGATGTACAGAAATGGAATCTGATACACATCACTTCTGGGAGGTTTAGCAGGACACTGTGTTTACTCAAAGACTGCTCAACTGATGTTAATCCTGTAGTGTCCCCACTAATAACCACTGTCAACAACCTGTTTAACACCTAATACTTAACAGAAGCCACTTGTTCTCTCGTTTTGATTCTCAACTTGACAATTCTGTGAAGTGGGTGGAGCTAATAGTGCAATCACCACTTTACAGATGAGGAAAGTCGGTTTAGGACACAATCACAGAGCATGCATTCACATTCTCACATGAAGTATACAAGGAGCCACACTGCCTCCCTCACACTACAGCTGTCTTCATTGCCCAGTCCTTCTAAAACCTGTAATGAGCCTCTCTGCAAGTCAGGGGTAGAAAGCTGTCTTCTGCTCCTGCCATTCATTCTCTGTTCCAGAACACATATTTGTATGTGGACAGAGTGAAGAGAACCCCTAGAATGCCACTAGCAGTCTCAGGCTTCACAGCAGATGACTCCTGCAACATATCTGAGTGTGTCTCAAGAGGTACCTGAAAAAGTTGGCCAGACTCCAGCATCCAGGGGCCCTTGGGGCTTATGCCTCATCCTACTGATATAAACTTCATCCTTACCACTTCTCACTCCTCCTAACTGTCAGGCAGGCCTGACTCTTCGCTCCAGGTGACTGTGTGGGACTTTAGCTTCCACTCAGCCCATGCATGGAACGCAAGCTTGCCTCCTTTCTGAAGCTTTCCCGAATGACCCTCCATCTGCCGTCCTTCTGCCTGGAACTCTGTTGCGCCATCCTGATTCCCTACTTAGCTGGCTTCTTACCATTCAGAAGTCCACTCAGTGTCTTTTTTCAAAGGGACCTTCTGTGACCATCCTTCCTTACACAACAGCCCTGCTTCACCCCTAATCATTCATTCTCCACCAAAACCTCCACTTCTGTGACTTTAGGGTACTTGTAGCTGTTTGAAATTATCTGCATCTCAGAGCCCGCAACAGCACCTGGTAAAGAGCAGGAGCTCAATGACCACCTTTCAAATAAAGAAGTTTTCCATCGGCTTTCATGTCATACAACTTGCTTTTTGGAGACAGAGTCTCGCTCTGCCACCCAGGCTAGAGGGCAGTGGTGCAACCTTGGCTCAATGCCATCTCCACCTCCCAGGTTCAAGCAATTCTCCTGCCTCAGCCTCCCAAGTAGCTGGGACTATAGGCACACTCTACCACACCTGGCTAACTTTTGTATTTTTAGTAGAGACAGGGTTTCACCATGTTAGTCAGGCTGGTCTCGACCCCTGATTTCATGATCCGCCTGCCTCGGCCTCCCAAAATGCTGGCATTACAGGCATGAGCTACGTGATGTGGTGGCCCAGGCCTGTAATCCCAGCACTTTGGGAGGCCAAGGCAGGCAGATCACATGAGTCCAAGAGTTCAAGACCAGGCTGGGCAACACAGTGAAAAACCCATCTCTACAAATAATACAAAAAATAGCCTGGCAAGATGGTGAGTGCCTATAGTCCTCACTACTCAAGAGGCTGGGGTGAAATCATCTGAGCCCAGGAGGTTCAGGTTGAAGTGAGCTGTGATCAGACTACTGTATTCGAGCCTTGGTGACAGAATGAGACCTTGTTTAAAAAAAAAGAAAATTTAGCAGATTTTAATTTTTCTAAGAAATAAATACAGTAAATATAGAATGAACTTTTCCCCCAGCTATACAAAAAAGCATGCAGTGAAATTTGTTTCCTTCCCATACCACTTTCCTGCCCAGTCCCTCTGCCCAGAAACAAGAACTGATCCCAGTTTCCTATGCATCCTTCCAGAGATGATGATAATCTATCCACATGCCTGTGTGTGTGTGTGTGTGTGCATGCTCACCCATCTATTTTCTTCTCATGGATTATGAATGGAAGCATGACATATATTTTTGCTATTTTTTTATTTTTTATTTTTTTAGTTAGAGTCTCACTCCACCACCCAGGCTGGAGTGCAGTGGCATGATCTTGGCTCACTGCAACCTCCACCTCCTAGGTTCAAGCAATTCTCCCTGCCTCAGCCTCCTGAGTACCTGGGATTACAGGTGCCCATCACCATGCCTGGCTAATTTTTATGTTTTTTAGTAGAGATAGGATTAAGTCATGTTGGCCAGGCTGGTCTTGAACTCCTGACCTCAGGTGATCCACCCTCCTTGGCCTCCCAAAGTGCTGAGATTACAGGCTTGAGCCATCATGCCTGGCCTATTTTTGCTATTTTTATTTTAATTTTAGAGACAGGGTCCTGTTCTGTCACTCAGGCTGGAATATAGTGATGCCATCATAGCTCACTGCAGCTATGAGCAAAGATCCTGGACTCAGGTGATCCTTGCACCTCGGCTTCCTGAGTAGTTAGGACTACGGGCATGGACCTGGCACCACCATGTCAGACCATTTTTTTTTTTTTTTTGGTAGAAATAGAGTCTTGCTATGCTGCTCAGGCCAGTCTCAAATTCGTGGGCTCAAGTGATTCTTCTGCCTCAGCCTCCCAAAGTGTTGGGATTATGGGTGTGAGCCACTGGGCCTGGCCTTCTTGCTATTTCTTGCTCTTTTATCCCTTATCAAGATCATGTTACATTGTCACACACAAAGCCATGTTACTCTTGTTAATAGCATCATAGTATTCCAATAGGTGGAATATTTATCAGGGTCTTATTATTGGACATTTAGTCCGCAGTCTTTTGCTACAATAAATAATGATGCAGTGAACAATATGCCTGCAATGTATCACATCTTAACGTTACAATAAGGTTTTCCAATTGTTTTCTGAAGAAGTCTTACTTTCTTCCTCCTACATTATTTCTCAATGCCCACAATCATGGTATTAGGTACATGTGGGGTTCACAACTAGATTCAATATGAAATAATCACTTCAAAGACATATTGGATGACCCTGTCCTGCCCCATCTGGCTCTGAGGCCTTGACTGTTTATAGACATGTCACTGAGACAGTCCGGCTGGCTTGCCATACATAAAATAAAAGCAGGCTTCTTGGAGAGAAGCAGCTGTTTAAAGGTACGAAATAACTTTCCATAAAAGCTTTAGCAGAAAGTGAAGGTGACTTCCATAACAAATCAAAATTGCAGGAAAAATTTAATGAAGCAAACTAATTAAGAGGAAGGCTGGAAACTGGCACTTCACCTTCTGATGCTTTCTCTAAGGACGCCATTTGGTAGATAAGCCCTAAAAGGCTTCTAACAGGTGGCCTAGTTAATGGTCATCAGACAAACTCTCTCAACCTCTCAACAGAGTACCAGAGAAATAACTCAATGTACTTTTTTGGTGTGTCTACTAGGTACCAGGTGCTGGGGATACACAACACTGATACCATCAGACCCATAACTTTGAGCAGCTCACATTCAGTCGGGGGTGAGAGGTAGAGGAAACAAGAAATTCTGTTGCCATGATTATAATGATGAATATCTTCAGAGTATCAATGAACTGAAAGGCTTTCAGATCCCAAGTGAGATTGACAGGAGAGTATCAAGCAACACCCAAGTAGATGCTTCCCTCTTTACTAAGAAGATTATCACAGAATCATTAGTAGGAAAAGCTGAAGACTGAGCTATGAACTCTGGAGAGAAGCTAAAGTGGAAATGGATTAAATATACCAATTGTCTAGAGGTACAATTAGCAGGATACCAAGAAGGGCTGGTGAGGGAAGAGAGGCCTGAGGTGTGAAGAGGAACTCAGCTTCAGCTTATTTTCACAACAGAATGGCAGTTGTAACATTCAGTTAATTCAAAAGGCTCTCATGGCGGTCCCTAGTTTCCTCAGATTATTATTTGCTTGTAGTGAAACAGAGTAAAGTGACAGAGGGCTGATTTGGGAGAGGGCAGGGGCTCGCCAAGACTTTCTGTCCATGTTTGTCACGTGGCCCAACATATTCAAGAGGCTAGTGCTGCTGTTGTAAAGATCCTAATGATTAATTCTTTCTGGATCATTCCTTTGGACTTATTATTAGAGCTGGAAGAGACCTCAGAAATAATCATCTTCAATCTCTGTATTCTTCAAGTCACAGAAGCAAAGTGACTTGTCCAGGAGCTCATAACTATTCAGTGACAAAACTGAGACTTGTGCCCAGGCTTCTTAATTACCAACACAGAGGTTTTTTCTTTTTTTCCTCCTATGCCATTTATTTCTTGAAAGCTAAATATTCCATGAACACACATCTTTGTGTGTGTGTGTGTGTATGTGTGTGTGTGTGTGGTTTTAAGCGGCAGGGAATTTAATAGGCAAGAAAGAAGGGGGAAGACGGAAAGAAAAACCTCCCATGTAGAGACAGAGGGATGGGGGCTCCAAAGCTGAGAGATGAATTTTTTTTCAGATTACATTAAGGCTTGAAGAGTTATCTTGAAATGGAAAGTTCAAGGCTGGGCAACTGACTCGAGAGGTGAAATGGAGGCCGGCCACTCATAAGAACTATGAAAAGGAGACATGAAAAAAATCAACTATACCAATAGCGTAGGAACTCGTCTTGGAGTCCTGGAAAGAATGTGACAGCTCCCTGTCCTTGACATGGCAGGAGGGAGGTACACATCTTTCTGTTCTCTGAGTGCTATTTTTTTTTCCATGCAGTAACACGACTACAAAGCAAATGAATTTTCCAGAGAATGATAGCTACTACTGTTTTTAAGAATCCATAAACACATAAATGATCACAAGGAAAAACAGATACATTAGATAAAAACATACTGCTTTATCTTTCCTGTCTTCTTCCAGGCATTCCCTGCTGATATTTTTCTAGTCTAGCGATCTATTTTGAACCCCCGCAGATGGTGGCAGCCTAGGTTCTTCTAACACGCTATACCCCAGGATGAGATTCAGATCCCCCAGATGCTCTAGCCACATGAGGCCTATGCAGCTCCACCGCTCAACATCTGAGTCTGCACCAGAACCCTGTTGCCATGTGTCACTCACTAACCCACCACCTTGATGGACACACCACCGCATTCCTAAATGGGACTCAGACCATTTCTCCCAGAATTAACACTTCGCCTACAGTGCCAGGCTACCTTTTCCTCATTCTCTGGTCCCTTATCCTTCGACCCTAGCCTGCTGGGCCAGTTTCATACACCCTCCCCTTTATTTCCCCTGCTCCTTTTCACAAAGGTCCAGTAAGGCTTGCCTTTACCCATATCAACTGGATACAAAACTGAAAAATTTCCTCTAGCAGTGGGAGCTATGGATTTCCTTAGTCTGTAGGGCATCACTAGGATGTAAACTAAATCAGCCTTAATGAACAATCACTATAAGAACTGGAGGTTAGAAGTAAAAAAAAATCCTGATTTGTACAACCTATAAGGACACATCACCTCGCTCCAGCATGCTTCAATCTTCCTGGAGCATCACATGCTTTTGGTTCCATCTGTTCCTCAACCATACAAAGCAACAGGATGGGGAAAAATCTTTAAATAGTACCTTCTTACATTTCAAATTAAATAACATTCTTAAGGTGGGGGGAACACCCGTATAAGTGAAACAGTTTTAAACTTGAAAAAAACATCACTTTTTCCCCTCATTAACAAGATCAGCCATGTAAGATGTTTTAGGCCAGAGTCATGCATTAGATTTGCTATTTAGAAGTAGGGACAATGCAGAGCAAAGACAGCCTCTGTGTGTTCATACACTTAACTCTGTGTAGCTGACGACGCCACAGTCAGCTCAGACCTTTCCAACTATTATACGGAAAAGAAACACAGAATCGTGAAGCTACAGAGCCTTCTGGAGAGCAGAAAAACCTACCCTATATACCTGAGGTATTATAATCTCTTCATTCTGTGCTATAAGAAGGTACTCTTAATTCTAGCCTAAAATAAATACAAAATGCAAATACAGAAATGCTATTTCACAGCCCCAAAGGCTGTTCATCAAGATGAGTAAACCAATAATTGTATACAAGAGGGCGAGTGCTGAGAAAATACTCTGTTCCAAAAGCTAATCCAATAAGCCCGTCCATAATCAGCTCTTTCTAACATCTAGCGTCAACTCAACAAATATTCCCCAAGTGCCTAATACATGCCAGTCATTGAAGCTAGGAGGGAATACCACTATCAGAGATCCCTGCCCTTGTGCTTCACATCAAACACAAGTTATTCTCCAAGTAAAAAACAATGCCAATCAAAGTACATGACCCTACTTGCATTTTTTTCAAAAAAGATTATTTGAACAGAGACAGAGAGCCACATTTTGCTGTCTCATTTTCATTTTTCTAAAGTCCTCTAAAATCACCATTTCATTTTTCATTTCTTTGATTAGTTTGCTTGGTAGTCTGGGTCATTCATGAATTTCTATCAGTCCTTAATAATGTCAAGCCATATTTAGTTTCACCAAAAAATGATGACCATTTGGTACAACGTAAGAGTAACTGCTATGGTGCAAAAGACAAAACATCTGGTTAAATTCTGTTCAACACTTTAATTTCCCTCACTCACTATGACAAGCATGGATAATAAAATATGAAGCAAAACCAGAGAG